CTTTATTTAAACATTTCCTGTGAAAGAGAAATATTTTCTACAAATTCCCATCTTACAGCCTTCCGCTTCAATCTATTACATCCTGACATTTCTCTTACTTTCCTGATGCAGCACATCTTAAATGCTGGTCTTTGCTGTTTAAGGCTCTGTATTTCACCTCATGCTGATAGAAGGTTTCTGCCTCTGTTCATTATAGATTTTATTTGTTTGCCCCCAACGCCATCACTCTTTCTTCAAGTGTGTATTAATACTGCCTTTGGGAAAGCTGAAGCCAGACGAGGCAGCTGTTTCACAGTGGGGTTCTTATTTTTCACCCAGCCGTACAACTCAGTTTGACAGATACCCGAAGAGCTTCACCCGCTGGCCAAGGGTCACCTACTGAGCCACAATCTCAAGATGAGATAAGATGCCAAAGATCCTCCTCTTTGCAGATTGTTGGCCCTGAACCAGCTTGCCTCACCAGGTCTCCTTTCATGGCTACTTGCTTAGCTTGCAATGTTCCTCCTTTGCTGTCTACAGAGAAATTGCTTGTTCAGATTTTGAAGCATGACTCTGCTGAAGGACAGCAAGGAGGAGGAGGAGGAGGAGATCTTCCTGACCCTGAACAACATAGGCAGCATCAGACCTATCAAGGTCTATCTAATGCAACATTCTGTTCCTGCAGTGGACAACCCAATAGATGCCTATGGAAGACTCTTGAGCAGAACATGCACCTTCCCAGTCATATTTCCAAGCAACTGGTATTGAGAGTCATATGAACTGAAGGGACTATATAGCCCTCAGAACCATATCCAGACAAAAATAAAAACAAAAAATAGAAAACAAAAATGTTGCAGCACCTTAAAAACTGTTATATTTCAAGATGAGCATTCATGGATACACCCCTAAGAACCAGAAGGTGTTCATAGCTTTATCCCCTATAAATGTTATAAAATCTATCTTTAAACCTATCCATATTTGTAGCTATTACTATGTCTTGTAGAACCTATTTCCATAATTTGAAGAACATTGTTATTTCATCAGTCTGGAGCCTTCCAGAATATTCTATTACCTGAGATGATGTCCCTGTCCAGATGGAGGGGTAATTGACCCATCCTTCAACACGGGCAATGGAAATGGATCCTCCATCACTCTTGGGGACAGCAGGCCATCTTGGGAAAGGGTGCAAGAGATGGGCTTTTTGGAAGTCATCTATATTGCTCTTGTTGTGTTTTGGTGTCTGGTCTTTGGGGTGGACAAGTCTCTGGCTTAGTATGTTTGTGGGTTTGAAGTGCACAGGCATGTTTTTTTTTTTACCAAAAATCATTTTGAGCTTTTCCAACACACCCACCATGTAAGGAATGACCAGGTTCTTCCCTTGGCTCTGGGTCTCGGACTGTTTCATTGTCCTGCTGGGTTGGGACATCGCCTTGTTAAAGGCCCATTTTGGATATCCACAGGCCTTAAGAGAGTGTCTGAACCCAGCAGGACAGTGGAACAGTCTGAGACCCAGAGCCCACAATCAGCAGTATTCCTTCATTCGAAGGAGAATGGACACTCATTTGATGACCAAGATGTACTCATTTTGGACCAAGAAGATAAGTGGTTTGAGAGAGAGGTCAAAGAGGCCATACATGTGCATATAAAGTAAAGGTAAAGGTTATAAAGTAAAGGTAAAGGTTCCCCTTGACATTTAGTCCAGTCGTATCCAACTCTAGGGTGCGGTGCTCATCCCTGTTTCCAAGCCATAGAGCCAGAGTTTCTCCGAAGACAGTTTCCGTGGTCACGTGGCCAGGGTGACTAGACATGGAACGCCGCTTACCTTCCCATTGTGGTGTATCTGTTTATCTACTCACATTTACATGCTTTCAAACTGCTAGGTTGGCAGGATCTGGGACAAGCGACGGAAGCTCACTCTGTTGCGTGGATTCGATCTTACGACTGCTGGTCTTCTGACCCTACAGCACAGAGGCTTCTGCGGTTTAACCTGCAGTGCCATCACGTCCCCTACATGTGCATATAGAAAATCCCTAATCCCTATAAAGGGTGGAGGCCTTAGATACAATCTGTCTCCTATTTATCATGCTGCCCTTTCATTTGTACCCAAAACAATCAGGACCACACATACCCATGACAATGGGTGGAGAAGGACTGCAGAAGTGAGATTTTTCACTCACCACCACCCCCCGTCTTTTGTCCATCTAACCAACTTATTCAGACCAGGGGGAAGTGAAACCAATGTGGAGGATATATCAGGAGTCTCCTACTAACTCTCCTCAGACTGAACAAGCTACTGGGATGAGTAGTGAAATGCTTCAACCTAACGAGAAAGAGGTCCAGTTGCCATGACTCAACTTCCAGATAATCTCACCTGGATGACTGAGAATCTTCACAGATATATGTAAAGAACAGTTGTTTCCCCACATGATATGTAGAGTAGCATGGGAAACATATGCCTTGTCCTATGCTGGGCCATCAAAACCTATGACCCTGTAAGCTAGCCAAGACAGACAGATGGCCCATCAAAATTGTTTCCCACTTCTGATGATGGTAGCCAAATACATAACATTTCTACAGAAAGCAGGCATGAAAATGCAGCAATGCACCTGGCTATCCCAGCTCTTATTTCTGCAAGAATGAAAGCATCTCTTTGCACTAGGGTAGAAGCTAATTGCTTGCAGCAATCAGGAAGGAAGAGTTGATAGCTATTATCTTAGCATGAATAGCTGCAAACACTCTTATTAAAGTAGAATTGTGTGAGAAGGACTCTGTGTTCTTTCTCTCTTATATACATATTTATGGACAGATCTGTATGGATGTTCCAGAGCCGAAAAACAGGATTGATGTTCCTGAATTGTCCTTGACCTTTCTGCTTGTCCAATTAGCTTTGCTGCTTGTTGGGAAATCATAGCCCATCCCTGTGCTGACCCAAACGGCCTATTCCAAGGAGTGGCTTGCATCATCGCTATGCAAGATTCCATTCAAAGCCTTATCAATGTAATCTCAGTGAATTGGAGAAGAGTACCTCACAGCTGCTTGCTTCTAAACTCTGGAGCACCTGGTGCACAATAGCATGATGAGGAATAGAAATGTTGCCAAGGCAAAGCTGTTAGCAAGCCAGAATTTTGTAAGGACATAAATAAAGGAATAGCATTTCCTTTCACATATTCTTTTCTCCTGTAATCAGTTACAAAAGCACCACTCTTTCACATTCCAAGAGACTGCGATAAGAGTATAGATCTGGGCTTGCAAAACCTCTAGACAGCATTGTCACTGGTCACTGACTGGAACAAGCTGGATGCTTGACACATTTATACTAGTTTTCCTTAAGCTTGATCCTTGGGTTCCCATTGATTTCAGCTTGATTCACTGGCTGAAATCTATATGCTTTTGGCTTAATTGGGACTGAGTCAGACTCTGAAAGTCCTTTCAGCACTCTCCATACACCTCTAAACCATAGGTTTGCATTGGCAACTGAGTTCTATTGAGCAGAATAATCAATGTTAGTCCAGGGTTGGGACCCCTTCCATTTGTAATCTTGCTATAAAGCATCTGTGTATCAAATTTATAGAGGGGTTTTTTTTTCCTAATTTGAGCCTGTGATTTCATATGCCTTCAAGAAAACTGCAAAATATTTTCAGATGGCCAGCTAATTAAGAGGAGTTGAAGTTAGATAAAAAGAACTGGCCATTTATTTTGGGGAAGAGATGTCATCTGGGAGGTAAAATCAGCAATAGAATCAGACAAATGTTGTGCTCAGATGTGAAAATTGAACCTGAGGATGAGACTCGATGGTATACAGAGCATGCATTTAGAAGAGGAGTTCCTTCAAGTAAATGATATCTTTTTCATAATGTGATTTTTCTTATCTATGTATCATGCATCTATTGTGCTTCCTTTGTGATTGGTCAGTGGAAGGTAAACATGGACTTTAGTTGCAAGCCTGATAGTTGAGGCATGTATCTAGGAGGAAGAGAACGGAAAACAAGTTAATTTAAGGAAATGTGCATTCCCCTTATTGGCTAGTTTGATTCTCAGGTTCAAAATGGAGTGTCTCAAACCTATATTGTTAGTGGTGCCTCACTTGACAACGTTAATCCGTTCCAGCTAAATTGCTGTAGAGTGAAATCATCGTCAAGCGGGAGGAAAAAAACCATTGAAATGCATTGAAAACCGCTCAATACGTTCCAATGGGCTAAATACCTAATCGTCCAGCGAAGATCCTCCATAGGGCGGCCATTTTCCGGTGCCTGTTAAGCGAAAAAATCTGTCCTAATCACAGCGGGGAGCCATTTTGCACAGCGGGTGGACATTTTGAAACCCGACGATCAGCTGTTTTTAGATCATCGTAATGCGAAGAATCGGTTCCCAAAGTAGGGAACCCATCATTGTCAAACAAAAATCACCCATTGAAACACTGTTTTGCGATCGGAAAAAATCATCATCAAGTGAATTCATCGTTTAATAAGGTAATCGTTAAGCAAGGCACCACTGTATTTTGAAATGACAGTTCCAGTTTATAAATAACTTGGGCGCCATGAAGAAAAAACATGGGCAAAACCGAAATCCATGTTTGTTCATTGGATCCACATAAAATGATTTGTTAGTATCTACCAAAATGTCACAAAGAGATGTACCAAACTTAGGGACTAGAGCAGGAAACAGAATATTTGGTCAGATGTAACTGTGAGATCTGTGGGATATTTATTAGAACCAACCAAAGTGTCATAGCAATGTGCAAGCTTGCTATTAAGCTCTATCTAAAATTCTAGACTGCCCTGTTTCTTCCTCCAGGCCTCTCACTTCCATACCACTTAATCTGATGAAATATTCTGTAGAGCTGGAAAGTTTGTACGCTTTCGCAGTGTTTTGGTTGGCCCTAATAAAGGAAACTATTAATTCTCAGTGCCATTGTGTCCATTTTGGAAGTACAGTAAATATGTATAGGGTAGTAGTGTGGAAAGACCTGTCAAAGCATTTGTCTATCACTTACCTGTCTATCTGTATTTTTTTGACTCCAGGACAATCCCACAATGGAAAAAGAGTGACCAGGATACTGGCTTGGAGTATCCTCAGCACCACCTTCTAGAAGCAATGCTGTAGGAAACTTTAGCGCCATGAAGGGGCTAGGAGATAGCAGAAGCCGCCATCTCTCCGATAACCTGGACTCTCCTCAAGAGTCCCTTTATGCCACCCAAGACAGGAATCCTTATCTCCTCAGCCCCACAGACTCCTACACAATGGACCCTAGGTTCCCCACACCCAACTCCCTCCACAGTGACTGTCTTCTTCCACTCAACAACCAGATTTCCAACAGCAGCACATTTCCACGGATCCATTATAATTCTCACTTTGAGGTGCCAGATGAGAATCCCTTCCCAAGCCATGCCCAGGCCACCAAGATCAACAGGCTTCCCGCCAACCTGCTAGACCAGTTTGAGAAACAGCTGCCCATCCATAGAGATGGCTTTAGCACCCTCCAGTTCCAGAGAAGCTCTGATGCCAAGCACCGGAGCGAGAGCCCTGGGAGGATCCGTCACTTGGTTCATTCTGTCCAAAAGCTTTTTGCTAAGTCACAATCCCTGGAGGGTGCCTCCAAAGGCAGTGTGAATGGCAAGAAAGGCACTGAGGACTCCAAGCAGAACCGCCGGAGCAAGAGTAAGGACCGGGCAAAAACCACTGAGACTAAACGCAGGACCAGATCCAACATATCAGGCTGGTGGAGCTCAGATGACAATCTGGACAGTGACACTTGCAACTACCGTAACCCGATGGGCCTCATGACCTTGGGCAGGCAACCTGATCACAGTCAACCTAGGTACTTCATGCATGCTTATAACACTATCAGTGAACATATGCTGAAATCCTCCAAGAGCAATAATGACCTCAAGGTCTCCCCTTGCGCCAACATCCCCATCAGCAGTGAGTCTAACTACATCAAAAGAGGCTCCTGGTCCACACTCACACTCAGCCATGCCCGGGAAATGTGCCAAAAGGCTTCTGCTACCATCGACAGAGCTCTGCTGAAATCTAAGTCCTGCCATCAAGATTTAGCTTATCAGTACTTGCAGGTGAGTGCCAGTGCTATGCTTGGGGCTTTCTTGCAATGGCATCAATATTTTATAAAGGGCACTCTGATTCAATGCAGCCAAGGGGTCTTTTTCCCCTTCTTTTGGTTATTATTGTTGTTTTCCAGGAAAGTAATAAGGCTGTTGCTAAATAGATAAATAATCCAGTCTGCCCATTAATTCAAAGCTCCCTACCCTGTTCTTGTCCAGTGAGAAGTAGAGATTGATGGGAAATCTGCAACAGGGGAGACACTAATAGTAATTTTAGAATCCTAAGATCTTCTGCTCTCACCTGCCAAAAGAAAGCAGCTTATTCCTGAGTTAGTAGTGAACTTACATCTTCCTACTGACCATAGGAAAGACAATCCCATTGAAAGTGAATCATAGCTAACAACCTAATCAGCTGAATGTCTTGTGTAGATGAAGTAAGACCAAGCCATGTCAACTTGGAGTTCTATTGATTTTAATGGAATATAATTATCACTAGCTATTTTGGGATGTTGCTCATTAAATTACTCATGATGTGCTACAGTACAATATATGTTACCATTTTGGTTCTGTTTTTTTGCTACAGCAAAATGATCTGTTTCAATCAAACTGGAATGAGGATATTGAAAGTAACTTGTTCCATTTGAGTAGAGCTGGCCCTGCCGTTAGGCAGAATGAGGCAACTGGCTAAGATGGCAGATGCTAGGAGATAGCAGTGGCAGTCCCTCATCTGTACTCCTGAGTTTTCCATGTCTTCCACTCTGTTGGACGACAAAGTGATGTACACGCCTTAACCTGTACTGAGTCCCCTAAACTACCTTACCGCTTTAGGTCTGTTGAAGGATGTCAATTGTCAGCCCATCCACCACAGGAAATAGGTGCCATCTTTGCCCCATGTTGGTTCTGCCACTTGGGGGCAGATGTTAAGCTTCACTTGACTGCATGACAGTTTTAGGCCCAGGGACAATAAAGGGAGCTTCCTCATAGTGGCACTGACATGGAAAATTTTCAGTGAGCATTTTTCATGTGTTTGTACACAACAGTTGGTTGTGAATAGCTACTCCCAAGAAGCTTTCCACCACACAAAAAAAAGAGTCAAATAGACTGGCCCTGATCTCTGAGGACATTGCTCTCATTTGAATTATTGTATATCTTGAGAAATGTAGACCAGTAGACATAAAGGCCCATGTGGAAGAAGCAAGGCAGGGAAGTAGATGATCCAGTGCTACATGGAGGCCAAGGATTCTGAATCCAAGCCTGACTTTACCATTAGGCGCAATGAGACAGCTGCTCAGGCAACAGACTGTGGATGTCATGAAAGTGCAGAAAATTACCACCAGTATCTTACGGCTCCAGAGAAATGGGCTTCCTGAAAGATGTCCAAGAATTTTATAGGCAAGGCTACAACATTTATTCCAAGCCAAGCACCATTTTTAATGTGGGTTTTTACTTAATGCCAAAATCAACTTGCTGCTTTCCAGTCAGTGCCCTGCAATGCCAGGAAGATCCCTTTTTCACTCTAGCAGACAGTCAATCCGTCAACCAGTAAGGAACACTTTATGCCTTAATAAAATGGAAACAATGGTGACCAGCTGGCCTAGCCAAAAAACAAAACACACCCTAAAATACTGCAGCCTTCCTCTATCCGATGTAATGGTATCTTCTGGGAAGCTCATTACTTACCAGCAACAATAAACTTGCAACAACTGGAGATGACTGCCAGGAACATCGCTATTAACTTTGCAAATGTGACTTTATTGGAAGGGTTCAGTGTTCAAAAGTGTATTGAATGAAATTTGAAAAACAATGTGCCAGTGCGCAAGTGTCATTTAACAGGCCTCCTAAGCCTTGTTGTACTAAATATATTAGCCAATTTTTTGTACTTATGTAATCCCTTGTGAGCCCTTCATGTGATGACTATGGAGCTTCATGTCAAGTTATACATAAAATTATTACCCACCTTTTTGCTCTCCTAGGTGCAATGAAAATGTGCCTGCTAACAATGGGAAAGGCATGCTTTCTTTATTTGAGTGTCCCTGCTTTCACATAGAACATGTGAGATTCCTGTACACTCCAAACAGGGGACAGAGTCAGAGACACAAAGAAAGCATCATAGACTGGTTATGGGAAGGACTATAAACAAAAGAAATCATGATGAAGAGGGAAAACACTAGTTTGGTTTTTGTTGCTTCTTATTCAGTTACTGTAGCATAATATAGAACTGAAGGTTGTAAACCCATATACCAATCATAAATAAAATAATTGAGTTGGAGCTTATAAGGCCATCAAGTCCAACCGCCTGCTCAATGCAGGAACCCAAATAAAAGCAGATCTGACAGATGGTTGTCCAACTTTCTCTTCAATGCCTCCAACACCGGAGTGTTCACCATCTCTTGAGGTAATTGGTTCCATTGTCATACTGCTCTAACAGTTAAGAAGTTTTCCCTAATATTCAACCTAAATCTGGCTTCCTAGAGCTTGAGCTCATTATTACATGTACTGAACTCTGGGATGATCAAGAGCAGATCCTGCCCTTCCTCTTCTCTATGACTACCTTTTAAGCCAGAGTGTTTCCAATGCAGAATAAAAGAGGTGATGCTGCAGATGTGAAAGGATGAACATACATTTTGTGGTGTAGCTTCTGATGGCTCAAAACAATCGCTTAGATGGATGTCTAGCAATTGTAGTTGTGCAGTGGTTTATCTCATCTTAAAATTGAGTATCTAGTTAGACTGAACTAACAGCTGATAGTACTGACCTCCTGCATTGCAAATTAGGACTAGCTTAAAACTGCATAGCCCCAGCATTTGCTGCCTGGCACATCACATATACTATATAGAATAGGGCAATTTGTTAGCAGTTTTATCCATTTCAGAATCATTTTTCCCCATTATATTTCAGAAACAAGGTGAAATTCTATCTGAGCAGAAGACAAAGCAATCATCATCACTCACCCTCACACATACGCAAACACATACAGTACTCAAAAGTCTTCTGAAGTGCCTTTTGAATTTGTGGGAATTCAGAATGGCCACCACCTTTTTAAAAAAACGACTGCCTCCTCTCCCATTTGCAGTACTGGGATTGCTGTTATAGTGGATGTTTCTGAATATCCGCAAAAAAATCCACAGTTTTATCAAGTGAATTAATTGCTCATGCAGAAACTCATCTTATTGAAGAGCCGCAGTGTCAAATAACCCAGAAAAGAGGAAAGGAAGGAATATTAAGCATTCTGGTTAAAAATACAAAGTCAAACCATGCCATTCCACATGATCTTATTTTTAAAACTGTATTAGTGACTTCTTTAGATTTCTTTTTTTAAATATAAGAATATATTTACATACATACATACATACATACATACATACATACATACATACATACATACATACATACATACATACATACATACATACATACATACATACATACATACATACATACATACAAATAGAAGCAACTATGTTCTAAAGCATAGTTGAGAGTTTAAAAGGAGCTTGATGCCATTTCTTGGGAGAGAGAAATCAAAAACCAAGAGGCTGATTAGACAAGCATTTATCCTGCTGTTTGATCCCTTGCAGGAATGGGTTGATTCACTCTTTTAAAGGGTGCTCAGATGAGGTCTCTGTTGGACTGAACCAACCCATCCCCAGAGCGTGCCTACTCACACGTCTTTGAACTCCTGTCAGAGGGTTCTACTTTTTTGTGTTGTTAGTATCAGTCTAGGTTGGCTGGATAGCTCAGTGGTTTAAGTCTCTGGCAGAGCTGGAGGCTGAGAGTTTGATTCCCTGCTGTGCATCTGGTAATAGAACCAGCCTGTGTGGCCTTGGGCAAGCTGCACAGCCCCAGGGTGCCCCTGTAAGAAGGGAATGATAAGTCATTTCTGTGTATTCTCAGCCTGTAAAACCCTGAAAAGGGTTACCATACATTCAAATTGATTGGATGGCACTTGATTATTATTAGGATCACTCTGGTTTGGTCCATTTCCAGTGTGTGTGATCATGGATCCATGGATTCCGCTGCAGACAGTTCCTTGACCGGCATTTCAGACAAGACAAATATATATATATATATATTTTAAATTTATATGTAAGTGATGCAGTGCATCAGCAGTGGTATACCAACATCTGAATAAAATTCACTTCCCTTGCCCCTCCACTGAGGAGCAGGGTCAGTGTCAATTTGTGGATATTGCAAAATTGCTTATTTATTAATCCACTTCATGGTGTTGGAAATTCAAATTTGAAGAAGGCTTGACAGCTGAAAAGCTCACTTTTGGTCCATTCCCAGTTATCAAATACACTGGAAATGGGCCAAAACAGAGTGATCCTACCTGCTCCAAAACAGTAGAAGCCCCTGACAGGGGCTCAAAAAGGTACAGGATGGGACACTCTGGCGACAGTTTGCTTCATTCCAGAGATTATGTCACATGAGTGCTGGAAAAAAAGAGCCAACCAGCCCATCCCTGCAGCAGACAAAGCAGAATGGCAAATGGCCATCTGATCACCCTCTAACAGAGGACATCTGGCCCCATTACAGTACTCCAGGATCTTGTATAGAGCTTCTTTCCATAATTGGCCCTCTGATCCTTAAGATCCCAGGGACTGAACTGGGAAGCTTTGAGATGCGAACTATATTCTCTGCCACTCAGGTGTGGCTGGCCCTCCCCTTTCACAGGAAGAGTGTCTCAGGATGCTGCAACAGGATGTTCCCATCCTGTCACCCCTGCAGTGCATCCTGCTCACTTTCCCCTCCCGACTCAGAAGCATTTAGTGAGAGATGTGGTGAGAAATGAAAATCAAAAAGGCTGGAAGCTTTGTTGCAGACCAGAGGTGTCAGATGCTATTATTCTGTTAAACAAGTGTAAAAGATTTCCGCCAAGTTATTGAAAGGAGCAGACAGCAATGTTTTCACTGTGGGGCTCGAGTAACATGGAAGTGCTGGTTGATTAGCAAGTCCCCATCTTTTGTCCTCTGGAGACAAGGTCGCATTGATGGAACCAAGGAAAACTGTGA